CATAACGGTACCTCCCGATTTTCGGTATTTTGATGAGCTTAGCGACATTATTCATCAGATTTTTTTTTTCAAATTTGGTATTTGAGGGTTTTTATACCCTACAACACTATGTGTTGGGGGTATTATAAGTTTGATTGGGCCAAAAATTATGTAACACCACGAAATATTGATTTCCCACATAGGAAAGTAGATATGGATCTTCCTATCTCGCCGAGCTGAGTCGATCTAGCTATGTATGTCCGTCCGTCCGTCTGTCCGTCTGTCCATGTTAATTTGTAATCACGCTACAGGTCGCAATTATGGTCCGATCTTCACGAAATTTAAAATGGAGGTGGGGCTAGGGTCAGAATAGAACCCTATTTTTTTGGTGATGATCGCATAATATTTAGGGGTTGAAATGGACCAAAAACTGAAAAAATTCCTGATTTTGCACTTGCTCTACAGGCCGCAATTATAGACCAATCGACGCGGAATTTCGCATGTAGCTAGAGTTTAGGGCTGGCAAGAAGTCTACCTATTTGGGTGGTCATCGGATAATATTTAGCGGGTAAAATAGACCATATCTTTTTTGTTGAAAAAATTCAAAATTTTTCATTAAACCGCGAATATTTTAAATCCCGGCAAAATCACAAAGCCATGACAAGGTTACTCCTGATCTTTACATTGATGTTAACATCCAACAAAACGGATATATAGCAAAATATGTGCGATATATATGTCTATCAAAGAAGATATGCTTGAAAGATCTCATATATGTCGAGAACGGCTGAACTGATTTCGGCAGTTCTCATTAATTTAGAAAGGCCTCTTGGCAGGAAAGAAAAAACGTCTAAAAAAATCGCATAAAAATATCTCTCTAAAGATGAAAATATTGATTTTGTAAAATTTTCTCATATTTTTTCAATTTTGTGATATTTTTGGCATATTTTCATTTTGAATTAAACATTTGGTAATATTTCTACAGCTAACAAAACTAAGTAGTTAGAATATCAGGATATCATATACAGATCGCATTTATGACCCAATCCTTACGAAATTTTGCATGGAGATAAGATGAGGGTCAGAATAAAAGCCTATTCTTTTTGGAGATGATCGCCATATATTAAGGGGTTGAAATGGACCAAAAAACTGCAAAATTGTCAGCAGGTCGTAATTATGGGGGTTACCGGACATTGCAAAAGCCAAGCAGTTTTGGATGGCCATCCAAAAATATTCAATGTGTGAAGGAGATTGCCAACTTTTATAGACAAAATACGAAAATGTCCATTCCAGTGACTTTTTGGAGAATTCACAAATACAGGAAAGACGCACTTCTGACTATTTCGTTAACGCTGATTTCGTTGAAGAATATAGTCAAATGTCTGTATCTCATATAGATGCGTTTCAGTCAAAAACCAATAATAAATGTTAATCTTTTGCCACTTCTGAGAGATTATAGGTCTTTGGGAAATATTGGTTCCAGATCTAGGAAGACCATTTAAGTGCAACATCTACCAATAAATTGCAAATGAACAAATTAGTTAAAGTTGCTATTATTCGAAAATTAGAGAACGAAACCTGATGGTTTTCTTTTATTATTTGTCACAATATCTTGTGGAATTCTTTCGAGTATCTCGCCTATATAAACTGTATCGTTTATTATAGTGTTGTAGGGTATTCAACGGTCGGCCCCGCTCGACTGTAGCCTTTGCTTACTTGTTAAAGTTCGGCCCGGTCAAACTTATAGCTTTTTTACTTGTTTTCTCCTTATTTGTTCACTTTAAGCGGTTTTAAGTTGGCATGCTCTTATTTCGTATGACATGCCCTTGGAAAAATAATGACTTTGTTGGTCGATTTGTAAGTTTATAGCTGCAAAAAATGAATACGAAACCCATTATTTGTTAATAGGAAGTTATTGTTAAGTTCACTCTTCGCAAAATATAGTCAAGGTATTTTCCCTACATAACCATACTTTCGGATTTTTGATATTCGATATATTGCTACTAAATCAGTTATACATTGATATTATGGGTTCTTTCGAGGAAGATAGATTACTTTCCATAAAAATTCAATATAAGTACAACCCCTCACCCACAAAATAGAACTAGCTTTAGGGATTTTGAGGATGGTCAATAAGGTAATAAATTATATAACGTACCGGCCAAATACAATTTGTTTTTGCTAGTTATTAATTTGGAGTTGTAATAATCTACTTCATATCCCAATTTTTCAAATTGATTCCCTCTGTAGTTTAATCATCTAATATATTCATTATATCTTATCATTCACAACACGTTTTTACAGCTACATCACAGTAAAAGTCACGTGATGTTGAAATGATCGCAGCATTGCACAGCAAAATTTTTCGTTTTTGATGTGAATATTGTGCTCTACAAATTTCACAGCACTTTTGGTATATTTCCCTTGCGCGCAGCTACATGGTTATCGGCAGTTGCTTCACTCAGAGACCTTTGGTCCATTGTATTCATCCAAGGAAGAATAGATTCACGGCCGAGTTAAAATTACGTGGTGTAGAGTCGGTCATAGCAAAGATAAGCAACAACATTGGTTTTTGCATATTATGACCGTGATACAGCTTGTGCTCTTGAAACAAAACACTACCAGCAGCATAGCGACTGCGAACTTTATAGAAATAAAAGTTCATCAATCAATCCTGAAGTTATTCAAGCGAGAACCTCGTTTATAAGATACTAGCTGGCCCCGGTCCGCGTTCCCGGCCCGTACTCTTAGTCTTTAATGCATATTTTTTGAAGCAAAAAAATATATCACAGATCTGGCTATTAGTCACAATTTATATAATAAGTATTGACTCCATAGTAATTTCTAAATAGAAATAAATATTCATGTCAAAACTGATTAATAGGTGTTCATCTACCGTCGGTTTTAGATATTTTGATCTTATTTTTAAGCCATATGTCTTAGTTTGAGTGTTAAAAACATGTATGATATAGAACATCTATAATAGCCCCATGTGAAAACTCAGCTCAATTTTCGGTGTTGTAACGATCTTAGCAATATTTTCCATTCAAATGAACTGTAATTTGGAATTTGTATTTCCATCGTTCGCTGCCGTGTTTCTTTCTAATATTCGTAATTTTTTTCATGTTTCTGCCACAATTTCTGAATGAGTCGCAGGTTGACATCCTATCCTATTCATTTTTTCATGAGAATTTTCAAGAGAAAAATTATTCGTGAAAGAATTTAAGAGTGATTGTGTGATTTTATTTATATTTGGCTGGAAAATCACAAGTGACTATCGTTAGAGCACTCCAGCATTTAAATGTGAATAAATCTTTTGTGTCTCGTACCATCGCTCGTTACCGTGATACTGGTAGCGTAGCCCGACGTCAAGGAAGTGGACGGAAGAAAACAGCAACATCACCAGAAATGGTTCGAAAAGTAAAGAAGCAACTTGATCGAAACCAGCGTCACAGGGGCCGAAAAATGGCTCGTGAGCTTAACATATTGCAATATTCCATTCGGCAAGTGTTGAAAAATTAGCTCGGGTTTAAGCTATTGAAATTCCAAAAAAAGAACTTACACCACATCAGGAAGAAAGTAGACTCAAAAGAGCTAAAAAGTTGCTTCGCTTGGCCGAAATTGGTGAACTGCCGAATTTGGTTTTCTCCGATGAGATAATATTCGTTGTCCAGCAGTTTGTAAACAAACAAAACGATTGTGTTTACTTGAGAAAGAGGTCAGCTGAAAATGTGCACCTTCGGTTGGCGACCAAAACTCAAGCGCCGACCATGGCCATAACAGCCGATAATCGCGAAAATATTCTGGAGGGTGTATTAAAGCCTTGGACACGAAAACATTTTGGCCACAGACCTTAGACATTCCAAAAGGACTCAGCACGCGTCACCCAAAAATGGTTACAAAATTATGTTCCTCGCTTCATTTTCAGCGCACAATGGCCAAATCTTCGGATACAAATCCATTGGACTATTGTGTATGGTACTAAAAAATTTTAAAAATTATAAAATTTAAAAGAAAATGTAAAAATTATGGCGTTTGGCTTTGTTGCATTTTTTTTATCTCACCCTGTATATATATAGATTGAAACCCTGACAAACTAGGAAATGTTGGATACCTTTGTAGTTATTTAAAAATTTCGGGGAATCCTGTCCAGATGGCATCGGACACTTCATAATAGATAGATTGGGTAGTAAATTAAAGACTGTAAACGAATCTAAATGAAAAGTCTTTCAAATATCTAAATTACGCATTTAGCAAAGATACGCCATTTCGTATAAACAAGGCCCTAATCTAGAGTAAAAAAGAACTCTAAACCTTTTTTAAAAAAGTATCTATCAAGCTATCTAGTCCTTACAATGTCAGTCACTTAATTGAAAACAAATCAGATGGACTTTCTTTGTGATCTGTTCATAGGCCATGATGAATCACTTCCAAAAAAATCCAATTTCACATGAGAAATATTTATCGAATTAAGGTGTGTTTTAGGAGGGAGGGCCGAAAAGTTTACGATAGGGGTCAAATATGTCACATAATGGCGGACATAATCATGGACTTGTAATTTTTTTCTAAATTCCATTATAGACTGCCTCGGAGGAGAGACGCAATAAACCTTCTGACACAATTTTTCCAAAATTATATATAATTCACAATTCCATTCATTCCATATCACTACCCACATAGCTTTTCATTAGGTTAATGAACAACACCATTTAACCTTAAAGCTCAACACGTATTACAACAAAAAAGTGTGCGGTGGTGTCATGACACGACACTTGAAACGAAATGCACAGCAATTAAAATGCAAATCCTGGCGGTATTCAAAACTAACAACGCCACCAGCTATTAGAGCCGTGAGATAAATGGCGGCACGCATTCATAGAAAACCGTACGTGTCAAAAGAAAAAGTAATAGTTTTGCCAATGGCAAACAGGGAGTGAATGGGAGAACCATGACACCCATGGTAAGTACATTATCAAATCCTGATAGGTGCTAAGCTCAAGAAATAAAATCGGTACTGTGGTGGGTGAGGTAAGTGTCTTAGGTTATATAGAAAGTAGCTTACATAGAAAGGTTATAGCGAGGGGTTTATTCTTCTTCTTCGTCTTTTATTCTCTAAGGATAATAGGAGTTCACAGAATATGTGTACACGTGTATGTAGGTCATAATATTGAGAATACCATTTGTGAATGTGTGTATATTTTTGTTAAGAGATATCACATAGCCCATAAGTGTTCTTCATTTTATGGTCGGGCCGGAAATTTGAAAACGAAAAAAAAATGATTTCCCATATCCTCGCAACAATTTAATTACAATTCAATAAAGTAAAAAGAAAAATGAATTGGATTTAGAGCCTGAATACCTTTGCGGCAATGCTAAGTGAATTTAGATTCGCAGTACCTTTGGAATAGACCACAAGTGTTGTGGTGGAAAGTAAACCAAAAATAAAAATTACTGTTTGAAGAAAAATAATAATGTTGGGTGTTGCAAAGGATCCGTTGGAGCATACTAGCATGTATGAACGAATGGAAGAGGGTAAATATTTGGTGAATTTTCGAATCAAGTGTTGTCAATTGCAGAAATTGGATAGATTAAATCCACAAATAACACGAAATACTAAATTATTGCTGATTTGAGTGGAAATTGGGGACGAAACCTTAAAAGGGATTGAAAGTTGTGAGGATTTGTTACATGAGGTCTATTCTAAAAATCAAACCCAAATGTCAATTAATAGATGATTTGGTAAAAAATTAAGATCGAATTCATCAAGAATCCGAAACTTAAGCGGAAATGTTATGCAAGAGTTTCCCGGAATGTCGTTCGTTTGGGGCAAGAAATTCAGATAATCAGTAGGCACAGATTTATTGTGATAGACGAACTAGAAATCGACCTAGAATTTTACGTTCATTATGATACTTTATATTATGTGGTTGGTTCGATGAGTTACATGCATGATAAAAGTAATATAACCTCCATATGGTAAAGGTTATACAAATTGGAAAATTTTAGTACTAAAATAGTTACAGATAATTCCATGGAGACTGGATGGAGACTGAAAATATGTCTAAAAGCGGTGCTTTTTTTAGGTTTACTGTCATATAACTAAATATATTAAAACTTTTGGACAAACCGACTGATATTTTCAAACTTTGTATTAGTTTTAAACATCTCTATGGACTTCCTATTGAAAGGTTTCTACCCATAATTTCAACAAACTCACACACAGATTACTGTGTAGATGTTTCTTCGTCTTTTGATGTTTTTTGGCAAAGGCAAGAAATCTGTGTGATTCTCATTCACTTGAGAATGCTCGATACTTTTAGAGCTGAAAAAAAAACAAGTGAACATTCCCTTCGCCGGGATGAAATCATGATATTGTCAGTTTCCTTTTGAAAAACCTGGCTCTCTTTAATTGAAAGTAATATGAAGTTAAGTCAATGGGGAATACTCTATACTTAAGCAATCAATCTCAGCAATTTTTACTTGAGAAGATGTGTTTTGTATTCTGATCTATACCCGAAGACAATAACTAATTGGTATTTTTAATTTGAATTTCAATCTAACGTTTATTATTTACAGATAGCGAAGGTAGTGATGGAGAGGGTGGCATGGGTAATGTTTCTCGCGTCATTATCCGGCCACCCGGTGTAAGTGGCAAAGCGAAACGTGGACAAATTTGCTTCGATGCTGCATTCGAGACGGGTAATTTGGGTAAAGCGAACTTGATAGGAGATTTCGAATATGATTTATTCTTACGACCTGATACATGTAATCCCCGCTATCGATTTTGGTTTAATTTCACTGTGGACAATGTGAAACAAGATCAAAAAGTGATCTTCAATTTGGTGAATATAAGTAAATCACGAAACTTGTTCAACTCGGGTCTAACACCGCTAGTGAAATCATCTTCGCGTCCTAAATGGCAACGTTTGCCAAAGAAACATGTCTTCTATTATCGTTCACCGCATCATCAGAATCACTACGTGCTGAGTTTTGTGTTTTGTTTTGACAAAGAAGATGATGTCTATCAGTTTGCCTTGGCTCCGCCATACAGCTATTCACGTTTACAATCGTACCTGAACGTTATTGAGAATCGTCAAAATCAGGCTGAAAAGAAATTCACCAAGAGTGTGCTAACTAAGTCACTGGTAGGTTGAGATTTGAAATGAAATAAAAAAAATGTGAATATTTTTTGCAAATTTCAGCAAAACCGCAATGTCGATCTAATAACAATTGACCACGTTACTGGCAAACTGAAAACGAATCGCATTGATCGCAGCTTTATCCGTGTCATTGTTATTTTGTGCCGTTCCCATGCTAATGCCAGTCCAGCATCCTTTATGTGCCAAGGTTTTTTGGAATTCTTGTTAAGTAGCCATAATATAGCGAAAATATTACGTGAAAATTTCGTATTTAAAATTGTGCCAATGGTCAATCCGGATGGTGTGTTTTTGGGCAATAATCGTTGCAATCTCATTGGCCAGGATATGAATCGTGTGTGGCAGGTTGCTACTGAATTTTCACATCCGGAAATATATGCCATCAAAAATATGCTAAGAGAAATTGATAATTCGGATGTAAGTATAAAATTACTTTATTTCTTTATTTAAAATAAATAAAATATTGGACATTTAAATGAGAATCACTTCGGTGATACTAAAGATCTTTGGAAAAGGATTTTGAGTGGGATTGGATGGGATTGGATGGTTCCAATGGGAACCAATCAATGGTATTTAACCAGGAACAATGACCTTTTACCATGCGAATAATATATTATTAAATAGGTCATTGATCTCTGATCTATATCCTTTGGTCAATGATATCGATGTCATGAATGTCATGCCAATCGACCAGATGTAAATAACAATTGACAATTACTAGAAGAAGACAAGCTGGTGTAATCCTAAGGATTAAGGTCAACAATGGCAAAATGCTGTCATACACCGCGATCATCAAGATCGCAGGTTATACCAAGATTTTTGTTAGAAACTTTTTTTGATTCTCTCCGACATTAAAATAATTATGATATTCTTCTCTGATAAAGATATAAACAATACATTTTCATTTTTCTCACGCCCTCTCCCTTTCTTCTGTTTTTCTCATTATAGTCGTATCAAATAGATTTCGTCGTTGATTTACATGCTCACACAAGTCTTCATGGTTGTTTTATTTACGGCAATACCTACGAGGATGTCTATCGCTATGAAAGGCATTTGGTGTTTCCTCGCCTGTTTGCAGGAAATGCACCCGATTATGCTGCGAACAATATGATATTCAATGCTGATGAAAAGAAATCTGGTTGTGCTCGACGTTTCTGTTGCGAACGTTTAAGTGATACGGTTAATGCCTATACATTGGAAATATCAATGGGGGGTCATTATCTAAAGGATGGTAAAACTGTGGCGGCCTACACTGAAGAAGGATGTAAGTAAAGAGGGAAGTCAATAATATACACCTAATGTGTGTTTTTGTTTTCAGACTATCGGTGCGGCCGCAATTTAGCTAGAACATTTTTACAATACTATCGTTTCATAAATGTACTGCCAGTTCCGCTACCCACAGAGGTTCGTCAAAAGAAACGTCGCCCCAGAACTCATCAATCGAGATCACGTTCAAAAACACGTTACGAAGTTAAACCACGACCGAAAACAACACGTTGCTACGCACCAATATCTTATACAAATCTTTCGATTTGTTATGATTCGGGTGGTTCATCAGATGAAGGCGGATTTTCCCCAACAAGAACTGTGGCCCCTGGCAGTAGTCATTTTAGCGGTTACCGAAATTATCGTCGGGTTGCCAGTTCAACAACAATACCCTCCACATCCAGTCAACAACATCAACAAACGCACGATCAATTTGCTCTGCTGCGTATTAAATCGGGACGCTTCGATTTGGCTCATGATCCACTGTTGCATGACTATTGTGGCAAAACTAAGAGTCAATCGCCAGAGAAACAGACACGATTTGAGGTGCCAGTTAATGTGCCACCAAAACCATATTTGTCGATAATCGATTTGAACCAATTAACCAGGGGAAGTTTGAAAATGAAATCAGCAAGTTTTGAGGATTAAACGTTTGAAGGATGATTTTAAAGCGATTGTATTTCTATTCTAAATTTACTTTAATGCTAATTAATGCTTTACAATGTACAAATATATATAATATAATGTGAAATAAAAGCTTTCAGCCACATTAACTTTAAAAATCAGAGAATGTATGCATTCAACCATACATATGAATAGTAGTAACAAAAAGTATCTGTAATTTTAAACGCCGTTTCGCTCGGTATAAATGAAAATTGGCGATCATTTGCTTTAATCTCTATTTTAAAACAAGATCCGCTACGTGAACAGAGTAGCTCTAAAAAGTCTTCTGACAGTAGAATGATTTTCTAGTACAAAAAAATCCTCAATAGAAATCCGGTGTCTGTATATGTCCTTCTCGTGTGTTTTTTTAACAGTAATATAAATACCACCTGAATCTGAATTTGGCCTTGATACGCAAGGTTTTAAAATGGATCTTCTCTGATAAAGATATAAACAATACATTTTCATTTTTCTCACGCCCTCTCCCTTTCTTCTGTTTTTCTCATTATAGTCGTATCAAATAGATTTCGTCGTTGATTTACATGCTCACACAAGTCTTCATGGTTGTTTTATTTACGGCAATACCTACGAGGATGTCTATCGCTATGAAAGGCATTTGGTGTTTCCTCGCCTGTTTGCAGGAAATGCACCCGATTATGCTGCGAACAATATGATATTCAATGCTGATGAAAAGAAATCTGGTTGTGCTCGACGTTTCTGTTGCGAACGTTTAAGTGATACGGTTAATGCCTATACATTGGAAATATCAATGGGGGGTCATTATCTAAAGGATGGTAAAACTGTGGCGGCCTACACTGAAGAAGGATGTAAGTAAAGAGGGAAGTCAATAATATACACCTAATGTGTGTTTTTGTTTTCAGACTATCGGTGCGGCCGCAATTTAGCTAGAACATTTTTACAATACTATCGTTTCATAAATGTACTGCCAGTTCCGCTACCCACAGAGGTTCGTCAAAAGAAACGTCGCCCCAGAACTCATCAATCGAGATCACGTTCAAAAACACGTTACGAAGTTAAACCACGACCGAAAACAACACGTTGCTACGCACCAATATCTTATACAAATCTTTCGATTTGTTATGATTCGGGTGGTTCATCAGATGAAGGCGGATTTTCCCCAACAAGAACTGTGGCCCCTGGCAGTAGTCATTTTAGCGGTTACCGAAATTATCGTCGGGTTGCCAGTTCAACAACAATACCCTCCACATCCAGTCAACAACATCAACAAACGCACGATCAATTTGCTCTGCTGCGTATTAAATCGGGACGCTTCGATTTGGCTCATGATCCACTGTTGCATGACTATTGTGGCAAAACTAAGAGTCAATCGCCAGAGAAACAGACACGATTTGAGGTGCCAGTTAATGTGCCACCAAAACCATATTTGTCGATAATCGATTTGAACCAATTAACCAGGGGAAGTTTGAAAATGAAATCAGCAAGTTTTGAGGATTAAACGTTTGAAGGATGATTTTAAAGCGATTGTATTTCTATTCTAAATTTACTTTAATGCTAATTAATGCTTTACAATGTACAAATATATATAATATAATGTGAAATAAAAGCTTTCAGCCACATTAACTTTAAAAATCAGAGAATGTATGCATTCAACCATACATATGAATAGTAGTAACAAAAAGTATCTGTAATTTTAAACGCCGTTTCGCTCGGTATAAATGAAAATTGGCGATCATTTGCTTTAATCTCTATTTTAAAACAAGATCCGCTACGTGAACAGAGTAGCTCTAAAAAGTCTTCTGACAGTAGAATGATTTTCTAGTACAAAAAAATCCTCAATAGAAATCCGGTGTCTGTATATGTCCTTCTCGTGTGTTTTTTTAACAGTAATATAAATACCACCTGAATCTGAATTTGGCCTTGATACGCAAGGTTTTAAAATGGATCGTGTGGACCCGCGCTACTGAAGTCTGACAAAGAAGCCAGCAAAGGGGAATGTTACAGGCCAATTTCGCTCTTGCTGCCAGTAGCAAGGATTCTTTAGGTGTTACTCCTCTAGTATTGCACGCCGTTGATTCAATGACTCAACCGGAACAAACCGTGCCACAGAACAGTAATAGTGACTTCTGACTTATCAAAGGCCTCCCGCAGAAACGTTGTACGCCAGTCGGACATAGAATTCCGGAACAATAAGTTTAAGCCTCGTAGCATGAAACAGTAAGTTTCCAAATGTGGGATGATAACTCGCGAAGCTTGTTGCCTTTTTAACTGCAGGGGATACGAAAATATCTGACCAATCAACGGCCACACTATTTACCACATGGACTGCGGAGATGAGAACACATCTGAATATGCAAGACGAGGGGCACATAATTCCGACCACTAACTACCCCAAAATCCTTGGGGTTACAATCGATAGCACGTTGAAGTCGACTGCGCAAGCCACAGCTATCTACAACGAATTGAAAAGTAGGAACCAGGTCCTCGTGTCCTGACGGCAGCATTTGGGGCGCAAATAAGGAACATTATCGACCTCTTTTACCGCGATAGGTCTTGTTGTCTGTGGTCAACAATGCGGCTCCACTGTGGTCTTTGAATACGATTGCAACGCAATGGAAAATATTCAGAGCCGCCAGAATGCCGCCCAGTGGACCATTTACATATGGGGACGAAGGTTCTTGCCTTACGTCAACATAATCATATGCTTTCGTTGCAGTACCTGTTTGGGCCGACGGAACTCCCCCTCCTAGACGTGTCAGGAAGGACCTGCATCATCTAGAGAGAGATCTTCAACGATACAAAAGAGAGTCTATCGATTAGGAAGCCTAATTATATTACTGTTACCACCACAACAACAAGTAATATCATTTTTTTACAGACACTATTTAGAGATTAGTTAGTATTACAAAACACAACAATGAAGACGGAGTGGCTTTTATATTCATATTAACTATTGTGTTCCTTTTAAATAAGAGAGGCAGAATAGAATCTGGCTAAGAATAACTGATGGTTTTGTGTTAGAGAATAAATAGAGTAGCCACTCTATTAAGAAGCCATAGCCCTTATATTACAGTCACCTCCGATGATTCCTACCTCAAGTCTTTGTTCAGGTTTCTCTACGCAGCTGAGCGACCTTGTTTTCTTCCCGGAGAGTGTATACCAAATTTCGGGACATTACATTTCCTTTCATCTAGCGTACGTACACCAACATATGAGTAGTTTATTCATAATTTCTATCAAATGTTTAATTTATGGTTTCTCTTACAAAAAGCAACAGGAATATATTTCTAATTAGAATCAGTTATCCCCTAATTATGAATCGCCGGAGCTTTAATGCTGTCACGAAATTATTTTAGCGAAAATAAACATTTGCGAATGTGAACTATTTGAGTGTGCATAATTTGAAACAATTAATAATGCTAGACAGATACAAGAAGCAAGTATAGCTAAATGTAGACAATTAATATTTGTAGCAATTAGTTTTTAGAAATTCTTTAGATATTTTCAAAGATCATCAAAGAAATTAAATAACCTTAACAACAAACTCATAGTATTCGAATTCTTCGAAGTTTTTCTTATATTTCCATTTGTGTGTCACCCGCTGGCCGTCCAAAGGGTAAAAAATACTAACAAGAAATATTGCTTAATATAAAAAAGGCCGAGAAATTCTATTTTCCCATCATTCAAGTAAACACAAATTGGCTATATGCCAGTCGTATGTCTGCGATGGTATTATGTGTCTGCCTATCAACCAGTCGACGAAAAAGGGAAGCTTAAGAAAAAAACGTATCAATGAACTTTTTAACAATAAATTTCATAAAAAGTTTACCGCATGTGTAGTTTTGTTTCTTTTTAATTTGGTGGGCATGTGATACTACAATGGATTTGTTGTTGTTATATTTTCTAGTTTGCGGCTACTGTCTGTTTGACTTCTCATAAAAATCAAATATATTTTGATATGTCTTGTTGCCTTCCTCTTCTCGTTAAACCTACATTTTACACCGTATTTATTTACAAAATTTATCAAAATGTGTTATATTTAACGAAGTTATTTGTGCTATCTTATCTTATAGGTTTGCTAATTACTCAAGATAAATTCAATTAATTATATATATTTAAAAATGAATATTGAGTAGATAGTTGATAGATAATTTGCAACAATTATAGGATTGTATCAAATTTTAAAACAGTTAGGGACCATTAACAGAATGTATTTTGTTGCTAAAAGAATGTGGAATAAAAAAGGTCACGAAGGAAATACATCAATTATTTCGATGTCATAGATTCATTAAACATTTTCTATCTGCCTGGGTTCATTAGAGCGAGGAAGATAATGGAATATATATTAGACTTCATTTTGTCTGTGAAATTACAGTAAGAAAATCTGTATATTACGAACAAGAGTCTTGAACTTTGCAGCAGCACAAATAAAAGAGCCGTGTTTTCAATTTATTATTTTCGCAAACTTTTTCAATTCATAAATTAAGGAACAAAGCAATTTTCTCTTTGTATAATACGGTTTTTTTCGAACATATAAACGAATCCAATACATATCGGGATTACTTCCCAACAACAATAAAAATATTATGTTTATAAATAAATACGTACATATATAATGCGTATAAAATGATGTTGATAAGAACGACAATACTACACAACATTCACCCAAGAATATTCTTTAATTTAATTCAATGAAGCGTTAAATTTATGAAATCGAAAGTAGACTACAGTGCCCACATACAGACAACAGCGATGCAAATGGGATTTCATTTTCTTTTGAGTTCAGAATGGGGTCATATTGAATACAAATTTTAAGCTATACATGAAATAAATATTACTTTATTTCAGGTACTAAAAAATATTAAAAACCCAGTAAACAGATTTTGTCATTAACGTGGTCCATATAAGAAATTTTCTTTTGTGGGTCGTTAATCATATCAAATTGAAATTATAAATACTTTTACATGGAGAAGGTTATTTGAAGCCAACGTCCGTATACAAAAAAGGGTTTATACCTGGTTCTACTAAATCAAAATAAACAATATGAAAGTTTATGAAAATATCTATCCAACGGGTTAATACAGTACAAAATGGAGTTAAACAGCTATGTACCCGATTTTTTAACCAAATTATC